CTCCCAGCAGATCTCGGCCAGGCGCTCACCAAATGGTGCATGAGCCCCTTCCCGCTCTGCGAGGTGATGACGCGTAAATCCGGCTTGCGGCTGTTGGTGGCGAGCTGCGTGCCGTGGGAGGGCGGTGGCGGGGACTTGGCCGGGATGATCTTGCCCAAGCTGCTGCCGTTGGACACGGGAAGGAGACCCGGAGAGGCTCTGGCACTCACGTAGCCGTTTCCTGCAGGAAAATGGGTGACAGAGAGAGAGAGGTGAACGCACGGTGGTGAACGCATAGCAACAGCAAATGCACGGCGACGGTGGAGGCATGGCGATGGTGAAGGCATGGTCATGGCGAAGGCATGGTGATGGTGAATGCACGGTGACAGTGAAGGCATGGTGATGGTGAAGGCATGGTGATGGTGAAGGCATGGCGATGGTGAATGCACAGTGACGGTGAAGGCATGGTGATGGTGAATGCACGGTGACAGTGAAGGCATGGTGATGGTGAAGGCATGGTGATGGTGAAGGCATGGCGATGATGAACGCACAGTGATGGTGAATGCGCAGTGACAGTGAATGTATGGTGATGGTGAATGCACAGTGACGGTGAACACACGGTGGTGGTGAATGCATGGTGACCATGAAGACATGGCAACTGTGAATGCTCAGTGATGGTGAATGCATGGCAACGGTGAATGCATGGCAACGGTGAATGCATGGCAAGGGTAAATGCATGGCAATGGTGAATGCACGGTGATGGTGAAGGCGTGGTGATGGTGAATGCACGGTGACGGTTGAATGCACGGTGATGGTGAATGCATGGCGACGGTGAATACATGCTGATGGCGAATGCATGGCAATGGTGAAGGCATGACGACGGTGAATGCACAACGACGGTGAAGGCATGCACGGTGAGCGGTGCCGCAGCGGGGCTCCCCTCGGGGAGAGCAGCACCGCATCCCCCCAGGCTCCCCAAAACCCACCCAGGCGGGCTCACCCGCAGCCCCCGGGCAGGTACCTGCCTGCAGGCAGCACCAGGCAGCCCCGAGTGACCTCGGCAGCGCCGGCAGGCACCGGGATGCCTGTAGCGGCTTGCATCCTCCCCACCAAAGCCAGCGAAGCTGCCCCGGGGCAGGCAGGGGCAGAGGCAGGGCAGGCAGCCGGCCCCGAGCTCCCGGTGCCCGGGGCAGCTCCTCAACCTGCAGGAACCCTCCATCGTTACTGAAATCACAACCAATCAATATTACAGGCTTGATTTGCTGCAAGGCATCTTTACGCTGCTCCGGCAGGGTACTGGGGCCCGAGCAAGGCAGGGGATAATTACTGTTACGTTCACTTTTAAGGTCTCTTTATGGTACCGGAGCAGCGAAAAGGGGCTGTGGCAGAGCGAGGACTCGGTTCACTGATCCCACTGCCCCTTTGAAGATCTGAGGTTCTCTCCTCCTCCTCCTCCTGCTGCCCCACTTAAGGATTTTATGTGCAAAGAAGGGGGG